TTTTTTTTTTTTTGTGTTTGGGGATATAAAGGTGCGTGCTTCGGGGATGTGTACCCAAGAAACTACTGGTTTACGCGTCACAATTTGCTCATGAGTTTGAAGAGAGTAATGGTTTTGGATGGAGATATGAGACTGAGCCAAAGCATGATTGGAGCACATTAATGGCTAATAAGAATGCTGAGTTGCAACGCCTCACTGGGATTTACAAAAATGTTCTTAAAAATGCTGGTGTCGCTTTAATCGAAGGTCGTGGAAAGGTATGGCGCCAAGAAGAAAGAAAGGGAAAAACTCTTTCTTTGTAAAGTATGCAAAACTATTTTTGAATGTTATTCTAAATGTTTTCTTTTTCAACAACAATACAGATAGTGGACCCACACACGGTTGATGTAGATGGGAAGCTATATTCTGCGAGACATATACTAGTTTCAGTTGGGGGGCGACCCTTCATTCCTGAAATTCCCGGAATTGAATATGCAATAGATTCTGATGCTGCCCTCGATTTGCCTTCGAAGCCTAAGAAAATAGCAATAGTTGGTGGTGGGTACATTGCCGTGGAATTTGCTGGCATCTTCAATGGTTTGTCGAGTGACGTCCATGTGTTTATAAGGCAAGAAGAAGAAAGAAAGGGAAAAACTCTTTCTTTGTAAAGTATGCAAAACTATTTTTGAATGTTATTCTAAATGTTGTGTCTTTTTCAACAACAATCCAGATAGTGGACCCACACACGGTTGATGTAGATGGGAAGCTATATTCTGCGAGACATATACTAGTTTCAGTTGGGGGGCGACCCTTCATTCCTGAAATTCCCGGAATTGAATATGCAATAGATTCTGATGCTGCCCTCGATTTGCCTTCGAAGCCTAAGAAAATAGCAATAGTTGGTGGTGGGTACATTGCCGTGGAATTTGCTGGCATCTTCAATGGTTTGTCGAGTGACGTCCATGTGTTTATAAGGCAAAAGAAAGTTTTGAGGGGTTTTGATGAAGAGGTGAGGAACCATTTATAACACTTGTATTGGTTGGTTGACGCATTACCATGAAAAGTCTCTCTTTTCCAGCCTAACATGCGATTGTGTATGCCTGCAGGTTAGAGATTTTGTTCAAGAACAGATGTCTTTGCGAGGAATCGAGTTCCATGCAGAGGAGTCCCCTCTGGCTATCGTTAAGTCAGCTGATGGTTCATTGTCTCTGAAGACCAACAAAGGAACACTTGAAGGGTTTTCACACATTATGTTTGCGACAGGACGTAGACCTAATACAAAGGTTTGAACTTTGAACTTTCTACTTGTGGTTAGCTTCTCTCTGGTCTTCAGGTTCATCGGCAAAAGTCTCAGAGTGTCCCCATCAAGGCATGGGTGTAACCATCTGCCAAATGAAAGAAGGTTGTCTAAAAGTATTTGATTAGGATTTCCTGCCTTGATGTCGCTCTTTGCAAGTGCAAGTTGACAAAATTGAAGATGCCAGTCTGTGCTATTCATAATCACTGTTCTATTGAAGTTACTATGAAAACTGTAAATTCAATAACATTGATGTATCAATAATGGGTTAAGTAATTCAGTCTTGTCCTGCATTTCAGAATTTAGGATTGGAGGAAGTAGGCGTAAAACTGAGCAAGACTGGAGCAATAGAGGTAGTGTTCCTCGATATGTTTAAGTTTGCTTGTTTCAGTTCTGCTTTTCTTTATTAGATGCTTTCATGGAAAAATGACAAAAACCTGGACAATTAATACTGAGTTCTGAATGCTTTTGAGATGGTTTTGTTTCTCAGGTTGATGAATTTTCTCGTACATCAGTTCCTTCAATCTGGGCTGTAGGAGATGTTACTGACAGAGTGAACCTGACTCCAGTTGCTTTGATGGAGGGAGGGGCATTAGCCAAAACACTTTTTCTGAATGAGCCAACAAAACCTGATTACAGGTATCCTAGCTAGCTTGTTAGCCAGCTGATAAGACTTGTAGATGTTATTAATTCTGGAGGTGCTCCATAAATATCTATGCAAGTAGAGTAGGCCCTTCATAAAAGGATCTAGGATGAGCATTACGTAACGACTATGATTACTTTCAAATTTTAGATTTATCATTCTATATCTCGTCATGCAATTTTTTCTCCTTTCTTGTTGTGACTTGTGAGGAATGCATAACAGATAAGTGCTATACTGATGCACAATCCACGAAACATTTGCAAAAATATTCGTAATAGGGTGAAACGACCTTTCTAGTATATATCTTTTAGCAAATTAGCATTTTTCACTTAATGTTGAGTGAATTATGTTTTTATGTTTCTGCTGATTACTTTCTTGTTTTGAGTAGAGCTGTTCCTTCTGCTGTGTTTTCCCAGCCACCAATTGGGCAAGTTGGTTTTACTGAAGAACAGGTGAGAAAAAATATATTGAATATCTGCAATAGATAGAAAATGGCTTCTTGTCTGAACGTTGCGGTTACTTTTGCAGGCTATCGAACAATATGGTGATGTTGATATCTACACGTCAAACTTCAGGCCTTTAAAGGCTACTCTCTCAGGGTTGCCAGATCGAGTGTTCATGAAACTTTTAGTCTGTGCAAAGACAAACAAAGTTCTGGGACTGCACATGTGTGGGGAAGATTCCGCAGAAATTGTGCAGGTTAATGCCTTTTCCCTTTATTTGTTTGCCTTTTCAAATCAAGATTTTAATTTCTGGAACTGAGGTGGTGGTACTTGTGTTAAATTCCAGGGATTTGCAGTTGTTGTGAAAGCTGGCTTGACAAAGGCAGACTTAGATGCCACAATTGGTATTCACCCGACAGCCGCTGAAGAGTTCGTCACAATGAGGACTCCCACTCGGAAGATTCGGAAAAACCCTCCATCTCAGGTTTGTTGTGTAGCGAGCTCTCTGACCTTTTAAGTTTGTAAGAGATTCCCTGACCTCTTTCAGCTCAAGAAGTTCAGAAAAACTTTTAACTAGTATGGTTTGCAGTCCACCTTCTACATCTTTGCTACTCATGAACTGAGTAGTGTGTGGATTACTTATTTTTTTTCTTTTTCAATGAACTTGTTCCAGGGGAAGACAGATTCTGATGTTAAGGCTGCCGCTGGTGTTTGATCGTGGTTGACCAATCTGCTGCACGACATGGCTCCTGAAGTTTGTACATGAAAATCCTTTTGAAACAGGTGCTGGAAAACGCAGCATCTGACTTAGAAGAGTTGAGGTTCTGCAGAGCATGGATGGTGCAAGTCTCCTCACGAGGCCAGCGAGGAACTTGAGCAAAAACAGGTCGTCAAAAGTCCTTTTACTATAATTAGGTAGAGTAAGTTTCCGCTTCAGTAATTGCAGTTGAGTTGCTGTATGAGCTATGCTCAGGCTCCACTTCAACATATTTTTGACGTTAGCATCGATGGATAAATGCGTATTTGCTTTTCTTGAGCTTCTCTGTACAACATATTATATATACACTATAACAGAGCACGATGCTCAAATAAATGTGTATAGATTTCTGATTTTTATCACTTAATAAATGAGTATATTTATTTACGGGAAATTTTTTGATTCATATGCCTTCAAGGCGACAAGTTACAACTATCCAATTTATAACTATTAAACCTAAATTAAGTTAATTTGGTAACAGATTGTAGACGCAATTGCAGCTTAAACCTAAATTACAGATTCCAAACCATGCACCTCTTGACACGAGAGTTGTAAATGATACCAACTTTCTTCAACAAATACCATAATAAGAAGTAAATAAACCCATTGGTAAAAGATAGCATTAGAAGATGAAGAGAAAGAAACAGGACAGAAATGACACTAATATTTTCCACTCAAAACATGGTGTAATACATTCTTTCAACAACTCTTAATAAAAGGTCAAAAACTGTAGAATTTTTCTGCAGCGATACGCCATCATAGCACTTGTAAACCATCTTTCCAAACAGAGGAAAATACGATTGAAACTCTTCTGATATGAAGTGAGGAAGATAAGAACACACTGATCAGATATTTGTCCTCTCAAACATTCGTTCTATGCATGATGGTAATGGTGCAACTTGTACAATAACACTTTTCCAGCAGCATTTCCTACAGCCATGAAACCTCCGCCAGGGCTAAAATCCAAGCAGCGGGGATAGTGAAGGGCCTTCTTCTGCGGAGGCCAGTTCGAGAAAACAGTAAATGATGGAACATGTATCAACTTTAAGCTGTTCTTCTTCATACTCGAACAAATAGCCAATATTTGAGCATCGCTGTTGAACTTCAGAAAATCTACTTTCGTTGTAAGATTCTCGATGGTCTTGATGGGTTTTCTCTTGCCACCCAAAAACTCCTCACTGTTGTAAATATTGACAATCCCACTGTCTGAACCAGCAGCAAACAATGCTCCATTTGGAGATGTACAAAGAGATGTACCATTTATACAACCTTCATCAACAGCCTTATGGAGGCAAGCCCCTGTTCTGAGATCCCAGTGATAAACCTGTCCATCTCCACCAGAGCTCAACAATTGCTTCCCATCATCGGCAAAAGCTAAAGAACGAACGGTTCCATTCATCTTTAATGTCCCAATCAATTCTTTTGTTTTAGACGAAACCAACAAGATATAACCTTCATTTCCCACAAAGGCAATTGTACTAGAATCAGGCGAAACCTCAAAAACTTCCAAGCTTTTCTCCTCTCGACCAACCAAGGGACCTATTTTATCAACTTTTGCCTTCACCAAGTCAAAGCTGTAAAAGAAGTTCCTCCTTCCAGCTATAATAACCTGAGAGCCATCAGGCAAAAAGGACGCCTTCCGAACGGGACAGTCATCAAGAAAGATGCTTTCTATTTTAGCATTGCGCTTGCCATCAATCTGAAAAAACCTAAGCCTTCGATCCAATCCAGCAGTAAGAAGCAACTGCCCATTTCTATGAAACTGCACTGAATTTATTGGTCCTTTAGAAGGTTCCTCTGCATTTGCATGTACAAGTACTGAATATTCAAGAAGTCCAGGCAACAATTTTGCACTGCTCTTCAAAACAAGATCCTCATTTGTTCGAAGGAGATCATCAACAGCGTCTACACCCTTGTAGCCACGGGCCACTGCTACCCCATTTTCATCATCTGATGATTCATCATCAGAATATCTACTGTTCCTCAACTGTGGATCAAGCTGAGCCCATTCTGTCCCAGGGTTCAGCTTAGCATGTTGAGCCCTCAATCTTGAGACATAATCTGAACCAGAAATCAAACTCTCATCCTCCTCCTTCCTTAGCTTCCTTAATCTGTTAACTTTAGCAATATTTATATTGGTCTTTTCCTCTTCCTCATCCACCCAGACAGGTTTCCTTTGCCTAGTTTCCTCTTCCGATAACTCTCCATCCTCTTCATGCACCGAGAGCTCGCTATTGGCTGAACGGTCCACAAAGAATAAAGAAGAACCTTTATCCACTGCATCTCCAACTTCTTTCTCATCCTCCTTTCCAAACTCAAGTGGGGAATAAATGGCTCCAAACAAAAAGTTTTCCAGCTTCTTCATTTCCTTCTCTTGCTCAATAGCCACTTTCTCATCCTCTTCCTTGTGTGCTTTCTTTCGCTTCTTCGTTTTCATAATATCTAAGTTAGATTGTTTTCCATTTCCATTGTCATCATTCCCTTGCAGAAATGAAGGCTCATCAACATCATCCCTTTTAGTCTTGTTGGCTTTAAAAGCCGAAGGAACATTCTGTGATATTAAACTCATCTTTTGCAAGAACAGTGCCTATCTGCTTCTGCAAAATCAAAACAAGTGAAACTGAGGTCCCATACAATAGTCACAGCCAAAATGGCTTTCGAAAATATGTAGAAAACTTAACATATACTCGGGCAATAATTCTAACTTCGGGTGACCAACAAATTTTGGGCTTTATGGAGGCGACAGCGTGAGGTAGGTTTTCTTTAAAGTCAGGAAAAAAAAAATCTTTACAAAAGAGTCCCGACCCGCCTAGACCCGCCCAGGCGCCTACCCCTAACGATTAGAGGTAAATCGTAGCAGTGTGCTGCCGCCTAGCCCCTAGGCACATTTTTTGAACACTGACCATAACAACTATCAGACTACAAAATTCTGATAATCATAATTGTTGAAGCTCTGTTATTAACATAAACAATCAATGCCTGAAGTTCCAAGCATATGAGCTCAAAACAAGTTAACAGTCCAGAACAAAAACACACAAAAACAGAGTTTGAGAATCAAACAACAAATATAATTTCGATTTCAGCCATAAAGCATAACCAAAGATAGAAACCCAAAACGAAAAACAACTTACTGCAAAGATGAGGCCTTTTGAAGGACGGTGAGTTTCGGCGGCGCGGAACGGCAGAAAACAAACAGCGGACCAGAGCTAGCTTTCAAAGAGAAACGAAGGTTGTTTGTGTTCGATGCGGTTATAACATAAAACGAGGTCGTTATACAGAAGCTCCAATTGGTCAAATAGTCAAACTTTTCATCATCCATCACTACTATTTTCTTGTCGACAAAAGCGGTGTCGTTTCACGCAGTGAAGGAAGGGCTTGCTAATTTTGAGCTTGACGGATTTGGGCTTGTGCTGGTGTAGCTTTTATTTTTCAATTTATTGGGCTGGAAACCTAATTAAAAACCCAACAATTTTCTGTTTTTAATATAAGCCAATATTTTAAACATTTCTAATCTACGAGGAGACAGATGAACTCGGATGCAAACCCAAAAACTTGTTGCTCTTTTCTTTTTTTTTATTAATAGGAGTGTGAGATTCAAACTTGAAACTTCAAATTCATCTTCTCTATTGACAGAAATGGGGGATTCAAACTTAAAACTCATCTATAAATTTTAAAAAGAAGTACAACCAGACTCATCTAAACTCATCTTCTCCATAGGTTTTATTACATTTTCCCAACGATCACCATTAATAAGGTACTAAATTAACTAACAACAAGTGACCCACTAATTACTAAAGCCTAACAATCTTCATATATATATATATGCAACCCTAGTCACTGATCATCTCCTTACAGTCATTATATATTTTAACCATAAAAATCCCAGAAACTAATGTTTTCTATAACTAATAAGTAAGAACCCCACGTTATAAGATACAATTGAAGATTTATTTTTATTTTTATTTTTATTTTTATCTTCTTGTGGTTAGTAACTAGTGATCAGAGGCAAGGCCTAATTGCTTGAGATGGTGGTGTGTGTCTTCAGGGTGATCATCGAGTTTCGGGCGTTCGGGCTGGATCCAACGGCCATCCTTGCTCCTCACCATGCCCTTGTTCTCGTCTTGCCTCCAGTAAGGTGGAACCAAGTAATGATCTTTCAAGAAATCAGAGGCCTTGTTCACCAATGCTGGGTCTCTTCCACTCGCTAGCACAAATCTATGGCCTTTCCCATGGTATCTGCATTTCATCAAACAGACACTTAATTACTTTAATTATTCTTGTTACTGTATATTTTCGTAACAATATGATAATCGTTTTGTTTTGATATGTCTACTAATTTCTTTGCTGCATGCATGCCTTCGAAGACCGGAAGACACAGTGTAAACAGGATTATTCGCTAAAATTTCTATGTCTACACTACACACAACACAGTCAAAATAAAAAAGCCATTCTATTCACATGGTGGAACTAGTTTCTGTGTTTGGCTACCTACCTTCTATTTCAGTCAATATATCAACGTGTCCGTATTTATACAGTGGCGGAGCTAGAAGTTAATTTTTTTTTGGGGGGTAGGGGGGTGGGATTTTCATGGAGTTTGGGGGTACGGCCATGGCAAATCTGCATGTGGCTTGGCCCTTTTCCATATCGACAAAATATCGAGAATATATCAATATCCATAGTGACACGATACTTGTTTTGTTTTGTCGATGGCTTGAAATATTACAGTACTACTTACATTTATCAAGTCCACCTAACCTAACAACTCAGAGATAGAATATAATAAAAGTACTGTCCAGAAAAGCATCAAATTGCTTGTAAGATAAGCTTATAGCCGACTGCCAATTGTAGGGAAGTATTATTATACTGTGCCACTGAAATATTTATTATTTTACTTACAACCATGCTTACAAACAATAATTCAATTGAGTTGCATGGGGAACTTGATCTTATCAATTATTTTAAAATTGGCTCCCAAGCCCGGCCATGTCATCCTCGATCGATGTGCGAAAGATTATCTCTACCAACTGAATAAAGCATAGAGTATTTATTTTTGTTTTTATCTTAAATCAAAACCCTAACTAAGACAAGACCCGTGAAAAGATACTATTCTTATTATTTTTATAATAAATTGAGCTTAGACCCATAAAATTCATTTGTAATCACCTACCATCCTTTTCTTTATTTTTCTATTTAAAATACTCAATTTTTTAAAGTAAAACTCGCTGACTAGGATCCAAGTAAGCAAGTTACCTAATTTAGCTAAAAATCTGATTTATTCTATTTTTCGGATTCCAAAAC